ACACTCTTCAACACCCCGACCAGCATATTGGAACACAGTCTTCACCCAAGGCAGTATAAAAAGGCTATACATGAAATGGCCTATGGCACATCATAGTGCTGACCTTCCAGGTGGGTACGGATCTATTAACTCCAAGTCTTTGGGAACACATTCTCAACAAGTCAGGAAGCTGCAATTATTCATTCCTTTTCTCCATATAAAATGCCTCATTAAACTACAGATACTATGTCTCTGGTATTCTAACATGCCAGTAGAATATTCTATCGAAAAAGGAAATATAAATCTGACAGAATCTGCTCTTGGTAAACCTATGCTGGCTCCCCCTTCTTTCTTCTCTACACACTTAAAAAACTATGCTTTTAATCATTATGACTTATTTTCTGCTGAGGAGCAATAAACTCACCAAGTCTATAATTTCTAGAATCGTCCTGCCCTCTTTGAGCAACCCTAGAGAAAGAGTTGTGAGGACATCATTCAGATTTTTCTGAGCACATTAATCATCTCATCTGCTTTAAGTCAGAGGTTACATTTCAAAACACCTATAGAGTCAGAGGGGGCAACAGAAATGGGTGAAGTGGAGCAGGTCATGCCAGAGGCAGAAAGAAACGTAAGACCAGACTAAAGGGGCAATCATCATTCAGCTCTCGCCAAACTGCTGCCACACAGGAGTCCAATCAGTGTTCCAGAGCTTCCGATTTTTCAAGAAAAGCTGAAATACAAAACATATTTAAATGTGAAAATCTCCTTATTTTTAAGTGTTGGTAATTATTTTAAAAAGATCTCACATTGGGCCACAGCATAGCAGTGGGCAGAATTCAGCACCCAGGAGTCCAGTTTTAATCCCTTGCTCTAAGCTAAGAAATCTATTTAGGTGTCTGTTTCGAAGAAGAGATGGGGGGTGGGGGAGGGAGGAGCTAAAAAGTCAAATTTGGGACTTCAATCCTCTCTTGAAAATGTTTCTTTTTATCTCTTTCCAATCTAAAATATTACCCTCCTTGCCCTAGAGCACAAGAGTAAAATGAGAGTGAGGCGATTACAAAACTACAAAGGATGGAGAAACTCAACACTTGGGAGTGAGCAATGATCACTCCCAAGGAGTAACCTTCGCACACTGTTGTCCCTGCTGTAAACACGATGCTGCAAAAGCTCCTTTACTGTCACTCTGACCCTTTCTGCATAAGAGCACCAAGAGTATATTCACCCTTGGATATGTGACTTCGCTCCGTCGTTCACTCTTTTACAAATCTGAGGTAATTCTTCAAGCCCTGTCCCTCACCCTCCTCTCTCCCCCAGCTAAGACACAAAGATCACAAATGATCCCAATTTGCAAAATCATTCAAATGTCATTTGTCACAACTTCTCATTCCCTTGGAGCCCTTTTTCCTTTTTGGAATTACAGGCAGAGGAATCTTGCTTACTTTTTCTCAGCATTTTGAATTGTTTTCTTGGTGACTGGGATGCACTCACACCCAAGCCATTGTTCGCTATGATTATTTTCCAGCATTTTGAAACATTCTTGAAAAGCTAGAAAATCCTTCCCTAATTTCTGGGCTTAAAATACTTAAGACAAAGTCAAATGCCATTAGTAATAAATAACCAGCACCTAACTTTTAAATGCCCGATGCTCCATGGCCTGACGGAGGTGTGACCTCTGTATCCTATGGAGGAGGGCTCAACTCAGGCCAGAGGAATTTCATAACACGCTCATGTTCAAGGCAACCATAATATTCGGCTTTGCATTAAAATCCAAAACAGATTGGGTAAACAGCCTTTCGAGTCACTTATGTCAGCACTCAGAGGCACCCAAATAAGTAGTTAGAATCCAGTGTCCAATTAAAAATATTAACTTCTCTTATTCTCGAAAACCATGTGAGAAGCACTGAGATCATTCGGATGTGTCTTCTATCGTAGCAGTTCCACTTATGTGCCTTTGCTTTAGTTCAGTACAGAGTAGTTAACAAGGTATTATAGAATGAAAACCAAGGCCGGGCATCTCATAAGTTTATTGGAGAATTCTTAGTTGGGAGAGGAAAGATCACAGACTTCAACAATTGATAAAAGATAAAAGAACAATTAATTGCAAATTATTACAAAAGTAATTTCTGAAATATTTATTTTGAGCCACTGCTAAAACAAAATTTTAGTGCATCATGAAGCTCATATTTTGGTAAATGAACATATTAAATTACTGAAAAGCAAAAAAAAGTTACTGTTATACACGATCTTAACGTAGTGATTCAGCACAGTCAAATGAACAGCTACAGTTATGCAAAGCTGCTTTTGCTATATATCTGGTATCTTAAACAAAAACGTGAATTACTTTTAACACTGCACAAGTAACCGAAGGTAGCAAATCCAGCAATATTAAAACCCGACATTAAACAGTATTCAAACATTACAACAAAAACAAAACAATGAACTTCTAAAACTACAGTTCTACCTACGTGAAGGAATGTACATGGATGGTAAAAAAAATAAATAAATAAAGTGACAAGAGTGACTAACACCGTATCTGCATCTTTAGAGCAGGAATACAGTAAGTGAGTAAATGTGTGCAGGGTCTTCTGCTAAAAATGAGAAAAAATGCATTTCACTTTAGTACAATTTTATAATTCCCACTGAAGCTCAAATTCTCTTGTGCTGGTGACAGGTGGACAGGGTTTTAAATGGAAAGTATTTTCTCTACACCCTGAGTATGGATGCATTATTTTTTAAAACAACTGTGGAAAGTCTCCTTTGAAAAACGTAAAATTTAAAGCAATATATTGATGGGAAATCAATAATATTAATTGTGGAAGAATAACATTAGCTAAATAATTAACTAAGAAGACACTTGAGTTTGGACTCTGATGATGAATCAAGGTTAAACTCTGCATTTGGGGAACGTGTATTGATAAAGTCACGTGGGTAAGCTATCTTTCATCTTACACATGGTGCATTTAATAAGTAAGTAAATTCTCCTAATGGCAACATAAAAGCCTTACTTAAACAAAATGAAAGTATTATGAATTGAATGAATTCACGTCAAATATCTGAAAGGGTAAGTGGAACATTTTTCAAAGTATAAACATGTTATCCCCTATATTCATGTGACTGAATACTCTCAAACGTTTTATTATTCCATTAAATTGTATCAAACCATCCAATAGGTATTGTAATTTTCTTCTGTGATTTATAAATGAATCATTCCTTTTGTATAAATCAGGAAATATTTTCAAAATCAACATTAAAAATACTCAAAATATAAATGTAATTTAAACTTGGCTTGGGAGAAGAAGAATAGGAAAGAATTGCCACATTTCAGTCTGAAATAATGTTCTAAATACTCCCTATCAGAGGCCTCCTTCACTTTCCTTCCACAGATCCTTTGATGGTTCTGAAATTGAACAGAGAATTCAGCTCAATGCACATCATGACTTTAACAGTTCTGAATAAGACATGAGACTTCATAAGGGACAAAATGTACAGAATGGTAATATTACAATGTTATAATATAAATATGTTAAGTAGATTTGTAATATAATAAGACAGAGTTGTTCTCAACAAACAGAGTTGTTCTGAACATTGAGCAACCAAACATATCTAGAATGTCTTTGGGAAAATCACAAAGTGCCTTTAAAGAAAGTAAGTTTAGACTGTACTTGATTAAAAGATACTGCTCTACACTCAAACATTTTCTCTCTATATAAGGAAGCTTAACTCACGCTTCTTTTCACATCTGCCAAGACTTAATAATTTTCTCTACGCCCCTGCACTGAACTGATACAAGTGTGGAGTTCCATTATGATTATTACTATGTGTGCTAATACTTCATGACTGGTCCATCATTAGGTAGTGGCTAAATAAGGGAACTCTGAATCCAGCACAGCTCCAGAAAAATGCAAAGGAAACAAGGATATGAGGAAAATCTTTCCTCAAAATGATTATTACCATAACAGGAATAAATATTTTCAAGCACAGAAAGTTTTTACGAAACTAATATATTGTGACTTTAGTTTAAAAGAAATTCAGAACTCAGTTTTGCTGTTAATCAAACCTGTACATACATCGAAGATACTAAACACAACTTGATAATTATATACGTGTAAAAATCCAATCTAAATAATCAATTAATCCATGTTATAATTAACAACGTGGTTCCTAACGTTTAAAAACTCAGTCCAGTGCTACTGCAGCTCAAGTTCTGAGAAGCTCAAGACAGAAGCAATTCTGGTTACAGACATCTCCTGCATTTCTCTACCTTGAAAAATATTTGAAGAAACTCTAGGAAACTTTATTTTTAAGGCTCGCTCTATTTCTTTATCTTAAATTGAGAAAAACAAAAACCTATAATGTAACCTCAAAATATTTAAATAGCTTCTGGCATTTTTCTTAAAAAGCAAATTTGACTCTTTCGTTATAAAATACATTTCTCTACCATAATTATTAATTCAAATTCATGTAAGTGCCCTTATTCCTTGCCCCCTGGCGGGTGCTGTCTTCTATACTTTGTGCAGCGTCCATAACAGTCAGTCAGTGCTCAGGAAAAAAGAAAATCTAATGGAGCAAAACCAAAGCCCCCAAAGATTTACTCTAGATCACAAAATCCGCTAATGAAGAACCAAAAATTCACACACGCATACCCTCACATATGAAACCAAGACACAGTCTTGGTCCTCTAGTCAAGTCAACTTGTAGTTTCTAAACACAAAGTCGTAGGAAATGGAGAGCCCAGAAAAATCATGTCAGAGGACTTTACAAATAGTGCAGGGGGGGATCCCATTTTTACTGATGGCAGGGGGGATCCCATTTTTTTGTAGAAAGAGCTTACCCTTGCTAAAGTGGAGAGTTTTTTCAAAAATCCAACAATGAAAATCATTACTGGGCTTCTCTAAATGCATTTCCATATTAACATTAGATTTTAAAATTTCAACATGTTTTGCACCTTTATTTTCACTTATAGGATAAACTGGGGACCCAAAATAGTCAAAAGGAGAAATAAAAATTCTTACTGCACAATCTTATAGACATTTTATTTTAAAGCACCTTTTTAATGTTAACAGTGGGTTTCTAACCAAGAAAACAGTAAAATAAAAGAGGGCACAAACCACTAGCAAGGTTAAAGTTCTCCTTTACATACACACACATGCACGCATGCGTGCATGCACACACATACATTCACTTTCATGCCAGAACGATTGGCAACATTAGCAAATAATGTCATTTGATGAAAGGCTGAGGAAACTATCATTTTGGTATTTACAGAAACCTAAAATACTAATGTTTCTAAGAAATTAAATAGCTTGAGGGGATTCAAAAAGCTACCAACAGCTGAGCTATGCAAATAAAATTGACTTTAAGAAAGAGGACAAAAAATTCTATCAGAAAAAAAAAATTAGCCTCAATACTATTTTTTGATGTCAGATTAGTTACTAATAGGATACTAGTTGTTTGCAAAGGACAAAATTACAACTCTTCATCCCTGGAACCTATCCTCAGCCATCTCAGTGCAGTTTCTAGCAGCACAATTTGGATGCAAAAACAACGTCGTCAGTCAATGTCCCTGAAAACCTTATGGTTAGACCTTCCTTCAAATACATGTTCTTAGGGTCTTAACACACTCACACGTGTACAGAAGAATAAATGAAGATAATATTTGACACAGATTACAAAAGTATGAACTATATACACCATGTGATGACACCATGCGCTTAAAAAGCTATATTTACTTTCCTCCCAATTCACTTAAAATGTAAATATTCACTATTCAAATTTTACCCTATGCATCTTTATCTGTTTCTTCCTCTCCCAAAACAAATAATAAAATATACTGGTTTGGAGTTTGTTCTATGCATTTTCCAGGAGCCAATCAAACAGTGACTTGCATCTCTCCTCAGGGGAAGCCTTTTCCATCTCCTCGTAGTATTTAAGCACAGCCTGCAGGAGGTCGCCCACCTTCCATCCTTTTTCTTGTAACCGTTTTGAAAGCTAGTAAGAAAGACAGACAAGTCAAACGTTAACTGAAAACAATTTTATAACAATAAAGTTTTCTTTTTTTTGTTGTTCTCCCCAAAGCCCCAGTACATAGTTGTATATCATAGTTGTAGGTCCTTCTCGTTCTTCTATGTGGGAGGCCACCTCAGCATGGCTGGATGAGCGCTGAGTAGGTCCGGGCCCAGGATCCGAACCAGCAAACCCCAGCCCACCAAAGCAGAGCGCGCAAACTTAACCACTACGCCACTGGGCCGGCCCCTACAGTTTTCATTTTCAACATGAGATGAAACTAAAAATCCTGCTGTTGGAGTAAAATATTGTTTTCCAGTTCTACAAGGTCTTCTCCCCAAACCGCCACCCCTTTACACAAATTAAACATTTTTCCTTCCTGCCCTTTATAAATAACTCTCCTCCACAGAATGACATTTTGGGATTACTGGAGACAGAATTCCACAAACCTCACCCCGTGGATAGCCTGTGTAGGAGTACAGAGGCTGCATTTCTACAGGAAATTCTTAACTTAAGTAAATACATCTGCCACACCCTCAATTAGGAACATAAAATAATAAAGACAACATCAAGCTTAATAAAAGGATGTGGATTTTCCTTCCACAACATATAGTGTGGTTTTTTTCTGGAATACACACTCTAGCCTCAACGGAAACATGGCTTTCTAAGTTAAGAAATGTTAATATTTCAACAAAAAACAACCAAAAAAGTAAATAAATATTGTGGTGATCATTTCACAATATATATGAATATCAAATCATTATGTTGTATACCTGAAACTAATATAATGTATTATGTCCATTATACCTCAATTAAAAAAAGTAAATAAATGCAGGTTTAAATAAACTCTATCATCTCCAATCAGAATGTCTTCATTCATTTTTTTCTATTTAGTTCTGTAAAAACTACTTTAATCTTTTGTAATATAAATATGCTCAACCTTTTTAAAGATTTTATTTATTTATTTTTTCCCCCCAAAGGCCCAGTAGATAGCTGTGTGTCATAGCTGCACATCCTTCTAGTTGCTGTATGTGGGACGCGGCCTCAGCATGGCCGGAGAAGCAGCGCGTCGGTGCGAGCCCGGGATCCGAACCCGGGTCGCCAGCAGCGGAGCGCGCTCACTTAACCACCAAGCCACGGGGCCGGCCCACAACCTTTTTAAAAATAGCTTTATTAAGATACAATTCACATATCATACAATTCACCCACTTCAAGTGTACCAGTCAATGGTTTTTATATAGTCACCAAGTTGAATACAACCATCACCACAATCAACATTACAACATTTTTATCACACCAAAAGGAAAGCCCTACCCATTAGTAATCACTCCCCATTTCTCCCAACCCCCCCAACTCTAGTAATCACTAATCTACTTTCAGTCTCTACAGATTTGCCTATTATGGCAATTTTATATAAATGGAATCATAAAATATACAGTCTTTTATGACCAGCTTCTTTCACTGAGCATAATGATTGGAAGGTTCCTCCATGGTGCAGCACATATCTACAGTTATGTGTTGCTTAATGACGGGGATACGTTCTGAGAAATGCATCCTTAGGCGATTTCATCATTGTGTGAACATCATAGAGCGTACTTACACACACCTAGATGGTATAGCCTACTACACACCTAGGCTATGTGGTACTAATATATACTACTAATCTTATGGGACTACTGTCATTGACCGCAATGTCATTATGCAGCACATGACTAAACTTCATTCCTTTTCATTGACAGATAATATTCCATTGCACAGATATACCACATTTTATTTATCTATTCATCAGTTAATGGACATTCAGGATGTTTCCACTTTCAGCCTATTATGAATAATGTTGCCGTGGACATATGTTTTTATTTCTCTTGGGTATATATACCTAGGAGTGAAATTGCTGGGTCATATGATAAAGCTATGTTAACTTTTTGAGGAACTGCCAGAACGTTTTCCTAGGTTACACGTAGATGAGATTCCCTTACCCAAGTGCCACCATGCTCAGCTCTGCCTAAGGCCTTCCTTAGCCCTCAGCTTATCCAAGACTAAATGACTTGAAAATGTCTGCCTCCCTAAGGTCAGTTCTAACACTTTCCCTACCCATTCTCTCTCCTTTACAATTCATTTCCTGAATATCCCTTTCTGTCTTATTTTCTCCTTCTGCCCAAAAACAGAAACCTAAACTGAAAAAATCCAAAAAGTCTAAGTAAAAACAAACAATACAAAAAAAATTATTTTTACATACTATCTTTTTCATGTACTTCTTTCAACAATATCTTTATAAATTCTGAACCACAAATCAAGACTAACTGTTCCTTTTTTTTTTTTTCTGTGAGGAAGATCAGCCCTGATCTAACATCCATGCCAATCCTCCTCTTTTTGCTGAGGAAGACTGGCCCTGGGCTAACATCCGTGGCCATCTTCCTCCACTTTATGTGGGATGCCGCCACAGCATGGCTTGACAAGCGGTGTCTTGGCGCACACCCAGGATCCAAACCCCGGCCACCAGCAGCAGAGCGCGCGCACTTAACCGCTATGCCATGGGGCCGGCCCCTAACTGTTGCTTTTTTGTTATTGTTGAGCGAATTACATTGGTTATTCATTGGACTATTCTATACCCTGTAAGATTAAAGCAAAGTTCTGGTAAGGACAATTCAGGGACAAAAACCTTAAGACTGTAAACTGAAAATCTTGACTAACAAGGTGCTTGGCACACAGTAACTTCTCAATAAAAATATCCTATTGTGTGTGGATAAAAATATCCAAATCTGAATGTTTTATTATTAGAAGTCTATTAAATACTCAAATTGGTCCACTGTCCCTTATTAGATGTTTAAACTTTTATTGGCTTTGGATTATGCTAGCTTCTCATACTAATGAAACTGGATTAACAGAGAAAGAGAGACACTAATTACTAGGCACAATTATGAATCAATTAAATACAAAGAATAACTCAATCTTTTCACATGAACACATGAAATGTTTATTAATGGCACCTAACCTTGAGAACTTAGGATGTGCCAGGCACTAGATTAAGCACTTTTTTACAGTATTATATTTAATCCTCACAAACCTTTGTATGGTAAAATCTATACTCATTTCCATAGTACAGATAAGGAAACTGAGACTGGTGAACTTGCCCCAGATTACACTGCTACAGAGTGGCAGAGCTGATATCTGAACCCAACTATCAGGTTCTATTGCCTAAGCATTTACCCACTCTGCTATCAATGGGCATCTTATTAGATGAACCATGTGACACAGAACATCATATACTGTTAAATGTATCCTCACACCCACCCTATCAGGCAGGTACTTACTCGTATAAACTCCTTCTTTGCAGAGTCATGAAAATAAAGTTCTGCAACTTCAGCCTCAGAGGCAACGAGCCACTGAAGAATAATCCTTAGTTGGGGGTCTACTGTGCATGGCTCCATGTCAATATTTGTAATTAGCAGAGTCTTTCCATCTTGCTCCAAACCTAATATTTAAATTTAAACAGTACGAAGTGAAACTCATAAATTCAACTCTCAATACTCTGGTTTCCAAGGATATATAAACATTTTCCATTTCTTAAGATTCCAATGAATGCAGGAAAAAAATCCATCTTTTCTTACCCACACCATAACATCAACTAAAACATTTCCTTGAAAGGGCAAAATAATGCTAAAACAAAGGAATAACTTTCATCACCTACTGACAGCACAAATGCAAAACTCTATTTTGAGGCACTGAATTCAAGTACTATAAATGTTATAATTTGCATTAAAATTTGATCCACAGGTAGAGAGAAAATAAAACCATAAAGCTATGATTACAATCAAAATATAAATGAAACACACAAAAACCTCAAATAAATACATTAAATGGACTTTGACAGCTTTCTGAGCTAAAAGAAATAACAGCAGCAAACACTTTATAGCACATATTACATCATTTAAGTATTGTTCTAAGCTCTTTAGATATACAAACTCCTTTAATCCTCACAACCACCCTATGAGGTAGAAACTATTACCATCTCCATTTTACAGGTGAGGGATCTGGGGCAGAGAGATCTAGAGTCTTACAGCAGGGAAGTGGCTGAGCCAGGATACGAACACATGCAGTGTCACTCCATGCTCTTAATCACTTCATGCTTTACACAAAATAGAAAAAAAAATTTCATATGTAACCACTTACATCTCAAAAGCCAGACATGGGAATTTTCTGGTACACTCCTATTATAAATAAATGTTGCTCACAAGTTTCTTTTTTAATGAAAATTATATTTTCAACATAAAGGTGAATCCCTGTTGACTGTAAAACTAATGATCTGTGGACCAATATCATGTGTTTAACACTCCTGCTTAATGATGGCCAAGCAAAACAGTGCTGAGGCCCAGGCCCTCCCACACGAGAGGTAAGCAGCAGGGCATGCTGGCAGACATCCTGCCAATTTGTACCCGGAATGAAAATTTGTTGGTGAATGTCCCTGATTCTTTTTTATAGTTTGTAGGGCATTCCAGACCACTACTAATAATTTTTAGGATTTGTATTGGCCTCTGATTTTTCATTTAAAAAACTGGTCCACACTATTCTCTTAAAATAAACATCTTGTCTTTTCCCTCCTCTCCCCCCACTGACTCTCAAAAAATGGGTCTGGTGCACTATGGTACCAGACGTAGTCTCTGGGCCATTCTGTAAATCCTGCAGAGGTCAAGGGGTTGGACACTAAGTCACCCCAAGGCTTCTCTGTACTACTGACTTGCTCATTTCAGGGCTCCTGGTTGCCTGGCCTCAGAGTGACCTCTCTCTTTAGAGAGGTTACTCAACACTAGTGAAAAGGGAAGGGAATGACATCCTGCAACTACAAACAACAACAAAAAAATGAGGTTTGTTGCCTTAGGAGTTCCATAATTTTGAATCTTTCTATAAATCCACATCAATCTATCTCCTAATTTACCAATTTCCAATTTAACAAATTTGAAAGTTGGCTACAATTTTCTATATAATGAGAAATGACTATAATCTCAAAAGCCGAGTAATGACATATCTACATATAATTAATCTCCTGATTTCTACCTACTAACAAAAGAAATCCTGAACAGCCTGGCTAGTGCCAAAAGTAAAATTTTTTTAAATGAATTTCATATTTATATTAACCTGTATCTTCTTTTCTCTTAACCATTCCTCAATAAAGTTAGTTAAGTAGTAACTAGTTCACAGGAGAAAATACTCACCACACACGTTTATACCACGTACAGCCTTTGGAGCAACTCTGCTCAATAGCTATTACTTGGGAAAAAGTAAACAACTTTTCTAGACAAAGTCAACACTTTTTAGTCAACAAAAATAAAGTAAATATTACCTAGCCTATCCACAACTCTAAATATACTGCACTAACCCTACTTGACATCTGATGAGAAAAATTTAATTCTAGAAGCCCTATATGAAGAATGTCTAATTAGCAGAGGCATTAGAACTAGAAAATAATAATAATAATCTTAGGCCTGGGGATTTCAGCTCAAAAATTGGTACATAACTTCCCTAAAGAAGGAAAGTACAACTGGTTGTAGAACTGATTGGAAACTCAGGTGTTATAAAGTACATTTCAAGAAATTTGTTTTGGAAATTTTCTCAGTTTGCCCACTTCTAAAGAAATGATAAAAATAAATCACTTGTTCAAAAACAAATATCTCAAACAGAATAATATTTTTATGTTCCACTCTACAGAAGATATTATTGGTATTTTTATAATTAAGGAAAAATAAGATTTTTGGGAAAAAATTCAGCAACCATCTAAATACAATAAAAACTCAGCTTCAACTTGAAAAACTTCTAGATTCACTTAGATATTCTAATATATTTGAATTAAGGATTACAAATTATGGTCCAAAACTCTGTGACCTATGGTATCTAATATTTACATATTTGGAACTATGTTCATTAAAGGAAGAATTGAATATTTTCTTCAAATACGTGTATGTGTGAGTATAGGACTGAAGTTAGGAGAGGGAAGAATTGATTTTAAAATATCTTTTTATTTTTACTTATTGACTTATGTAAGAATGACATTAAACACTAATTCTAACACTAATTGCTAGAAGTTACTGGTTTGGAAGAAAAATTGACATATGCCCTAATTACAATAGATTATATCTTATGAGTAAGGATTTTATATTTCGAAAAAGATAATTACAGAGAGATTATCCTAAATTTCCCTGTAAAATAATTGAATAATTCTTTTAAAGTAGTTCAGTCTTTACACTGATGAGTACTTCATTAGTTTAGCAATCAAATAATACAAACAAAGGACCCAACACTGGATAAATTAGTTCAAGAATACCCTGACTTGTAATGTAAATACCTGATTTGTAATAACCCGGAGCCTAACTGATGAAAATGCACAAATATAATCATTAAAGACTCTTCTAGGGAACCTTATACAAAAAACATGCAAATGCTTTGAAAAACAAATTGTCAATTACCTTCTACATCATCCTCATGCTCTTCATCTTTATCATCTGGTCCATCACTTTCCAAATAAAAGAGCAGAAGCAGTTAAAAAAAGCTTTAATTAATAATGGTATTAAAATCAATTCTTAAAATGTAAAGAATGAATGTTACAATACGATGTATGACATTTAAAAAGGGGAGAAAGGACAATAAAAAAGGAAGCTTTGCTTCTCACACCATTTCATGTTAAAATCTGAATTATAAACGATGCCTGGATAAGTTATCAACAACCAAGAAGTTCTACCTGACCAGGATATATACAGCACTAAGTAATTTCACAATAAAATTTAGTTTAAAATAATTTAAAGATGAAATATTCTAAGTTGGTTTTAGATAACAAAGCATCTGAATATCAGAGAATTCCATGAATAATTAAGTATTAATGCTTCTGCTGATGCCATTTACATATTTTTTAACACAGTCAAAACACATTTTTCCTACACTTTTCTTATATATGAAATAAAACTACTTACAAAAAAAACAAAGAAAACAACAGAAATCCTGTAGGAAGCAAGCTCTTTTTAATGAAATAATTGGTAGAATGAAAAGTAGCAAGCAGGGCAACACATGCATGAAAGTAACACAATTTGCAATCGGATGTCAGTCATATCTCAGCATAGTTGAATTTTTTCATTAGATGTAAATTCATCAAGCAAAATCATGTCAAAGTATAGGAGAAAAGCAGGTTGATATATATTGGCACTGTAACCCATGTTCTTTTAAGAAAATGACATCATGCATTAGTGGTGAAAGACTCATCAGTTTTTAAGTTTTTGGACTGGACCAACCTGTCTGATGTTGGAAAGGATAAATTGTCCTCAAACAAATCTCCTTCTAAACCAAGACTGCTCCAGCTACTGCTGTTACCATTACTGCCAGAGGAAGAAAAGAACAGAGCTGAACTAGAAAATGAACAGCAAAGACGACCTTGGTTTTCCTTGGAACAGCTTCTGTCAGTGATAACTGCAGATGTTCTGAAGCTGCCACAACGGAGTGGAGCATCCACGGAGGTAAACAGACACCATCACTGCTACCATAAAAGGCACCTGACAGCTTCGGAGATTTCGGAGTTTTCTTACTTGTCCTCAATGGCTTGTGAAAATTACTCTAAGTTTATATTTATTTTACAGATTAAGTCAACAGAATGACTTTTAGGACAGCAAATGAACGCATGAAGTAAGAAGTTTCACAGTGAAATTAATGTCTATGGCAAGTCTTAGAATGTAATTTGTAAAAAGCCAATACACTTCAGATTTGATAAATTTTTTTTTGTTTTTTTTGCTGAGGAAGACTTGCCCTGAGCCAACATCTGTTGCCACTCTTCCTCTTTTTGTATGTGAGCCACTGCCACAGCATGGCCACTGACAAGTGGTGTAGGTCTGTGCAGAATCAGACCACGATGAACTTAACCACTAGGCCACTGGGGCTGGCCCTCAACAAATTTTAAAAAGAAAATCTACAGGTTAACACACTCACAGGCCTTTAGAAAGTGCAAACAGTGATGGACTTGGCGGGAGGCGGCGATGGGATGGCGGGCACCAAAACATAGTCCCAGAGAGACCTTTTCCAAGTAGTTGGAGAAAAGATGTTTCTGAATTTAAAATACTCTTATGATGTCCATTACCTTCATTTCATACATTATGCATAATTCAGCAGGTGGCAAATAACATATATTTTCCTCAGAATACGAATAACTAAGGCTTAATCAAGCATTATACTTGTCTGGTCGGCCAGTTACTAATGCCACACAGATAACTTCCTACACTACCATCTACTCAAAAGAAGAAAGCAACTACATTCTAAAACTGCAGCAAAGCAATAAAAACAAAAAGTAACTGTGTTCAGAAACAAAACTAAGTTCAACTTTCAGATTAAAAGCTAAACATGCAATTTTTTAAAATTCTAATCATTAAAATAATTAGTAAGCACATTAGTTTGCAGTGATAAGCAGCTATATTTCTCCATATTAGGCTAGGCAATTACAAAAATTAATATTTACACAAACCAAAATTTTGGTTCTAAAAAAATGAATTAACATAAAATCATTTTATGTGCATCAGTAAATGTTGTCAAGGTTACCAAAAAAGGGGATGATTATTTAAAAGGTCTAAATAGTTTTCAAGCAATCTCAAATAATTTATATATCCATATTCACTCTAGCACCATCAAACTGTCACAAACCATAATGTAGTAGAGAATAAAAGTTAAAACTGAGCAGTATTTTTTCAACATATGTTCAAACAAATATAGCTCTATTATAAAACCATTAAAACAACCAGAGTTTTGCCCATGTAGTCTGTCGTCAAACCAAAAATGAGAAAATATAGAAATACAGAATGGATGGACAGCTATGAGCCAAAGAGAAAGAGAAAATTAATGATCTCAAACACTGCATTTACTTCTACTAAGAGAATGATTATCTAAAAAAAGAAAAAGATTACAAAATTAAAATTTCTAACCATATCCTACTAATAATAATGATTCCTCCTTTTAATTAATAATAAATTATTAATTTTTATTAATTAAAATATTTATTAATTAAAATAAAATTAAATAAAATATATAAATTATAATAATAAATAAATAAATAATAAAAATCCATTACCTAAGTATTAAGTGAACATGAAAAGAAATTAACAGCTAAAAAATGTAAAGACTATAAATTCAAATTCTAAAAACCTCATCCCCACTCCTCTTTTGCCCCTAAAAATGGGTCAGATTTGAAATCAGTGATTTATAAAATGCCACTTCTAACTAGAGTGACCATATAATTTCTCATCTAACCAGGACACTTTTGAAAATAAAAAAAGTCACCATCAATAATTACACCAGAGCAGCAGAAGTAAACCAGGACTGCCCTGAGTAAACCAGGAGGCATGATCATCCTGCATTAACCCAACATAAAACAACTTAATCTCTTCACTTAATAGTCTTCCTAGTTCATTCCTGAACATCGACCTGCTTCCATCATTTTCTTTTATGTCTTTTCCTACTTCCTACGTCTAGAATAGGTGTACCTTAAACCAGTGGCAGTCAAGGACTAAAATTCTTTATTGTGGCTTTCAGCCATATGAAGACTACTGTCAATTCTGACACCTCTCATAGAAATTATCTCAAAAATCCTGCAATTCCAGCCCCATCTCTTACCTAATCTACTACATAACTTTTAAAAAATTCACAAACTAGGGGCCAGCCCGGTGGTGTAGCGGTTAAGTGCGCACACTCTGCTTCAGCGCCCTGAGGGTTTGCAGGTTCGGATCCCGGGCGCACACCAATGCACCGCTTGTCAAGCGATGCTGTGGTGGCGTCCCATATAAAGTAGAGGAAGATGGGCACAGATGTTAGCTCAGGGCCAGTCTTCCTTGGCAAAAAGAGGAGGATTGGCATTGGATGTTAGCTCAGGGCTGATCTTCCTCACAAAACAATTAAAAATTAAAAAAAATTCACAAACTGCTGAAATACTTAACAGATTCACATACACAGACTAGCTCTCTTCTGATCAAGTAATTATACATTCCTCCCAAATGTTTGTAAAAATTTGAAATTATTTCTTTTTTACTTGTTGCGTTCTACTGAACTTTCTAGAGTGAAAGTGTAAGGTGTGTCCAAACCACTGAAGTCTTTTATCTCCTACTTCGATCTCTTTACCAGAAAATAAACAGCAGACGTCACCAGAAGATGAAACACGTAAAGCCACGTATCTTAAGTGTGGTTTCTGCTTACCAAGCACGCAGATTCTTGGGACCCTCCAATGACCTAATGAATCTTAATCATGGGAGGTGAGGCCCTGGAAATCGTATGTTCAACAAGCACACCACCAACCCTGGATGAGTTCCACTTTTTCTTTGTGCCTGAAACTTAACACCACATAGCATAATAGTTCTTGTTAAGACTGTGGTCAGGGCCAGCCCAGTGGCTTAGCGGTTAAGTGCACTCCGCTACTGGCGGCCCGGGGTTCGGATCCCGGGTGCGCACCGACGCACTGCTTCTCCGGCCATGCTGAGGCCGTGTCCCACATACAGCAACTAAAAGGATGTGCAACTATGACATACAACTATCTACTGGGGCTTTGGGGGGGGTGGGAAGGAGGAAGATTGGCAATAGATGTTAGCTCAGAGCCGGTCTTCCTCAGCAAAAAGAGGAGGATTAGTGTGGATATTAGCTCAGGGCTATCTTCCTCAAAAAAAAAAAAAACAGTATTAAAAAAAAAAAAAAAGACTGGTCAATTAAAACCACAGGTGTTTTTCTGACAAAACGCTATCAAGCCAGGCTTTCCCCGTTCTGAAATCAAAGAATTAATTTTATGAACCCAAATGCTTTTACCCCCTTTAAACATAACTGTTTTAGCCTCAGCCTGATTTGGTCTTTCTGAAGTAGCCTCTAACCCTACTTCTCCCATTTCAACACCAGGGTTTCCTAAGCAACAATGTCAACCCTCTGAGAAATTCTAGAAGCCTGGGTTTCTCAAAGACAAGAGAAGAATTTAAGTGCTAATATTCCACTCTAGATAGTTATGGAAAAAGGCCCAATGATCATTTGCGATGTTACCCCCACACTTCCTGCTACCAGTAAAGACTATCTTTTTTGAATCCAGATTTTAAGAAATATTAGTGGTTTACATTTCATTTTAAGAAACTATGACAAAATAGATACTTTATAAAAACATTAATACTTATTGGTTAATCCAAGCATCAAACAAAATACTCTGAGATGATGTGTTCTAACAAGTGAAAAGCCATTTCCTCATGCCTCATGGCTCCTCATCCTCTCCTCCAACAGTCTTCTTACCTCCCCCTCCCGGCGAGTCAATTCCAATGGCTCTGTTCAACTGAAGCCTCACAGGGTCCTGTCCACATATGCCTGAAACGGGAAGTCTGTGTGCTGGGAACCTTTCCCTCTCCCTGCACTCATCTATGGACAGTATTTATTATTTCCAATTATCAGTTAACGTGGATAAAGATTTTATAGAATTTTACAGGTTAGTCAGGAATAGCTTTATAGAGTTAAGAATATAAGAAAATTATATCGAAATTGATAAAATATTCCAAAGACTATGAAAAAATTAAGAAAAATTATATATGAAGTAGGTGCCTTCTGCTGTACAAAACGACATTTTTATAATGAGTTTATGTGTTTTCAGTCATTCAAGTATAAATGCTCTAGGTCATTCTGTTCCTGAAGAGCAGGACAAGTAAGGAATCCTTCCCAAAAAGATACTACTTTAACATCCAGAAAATTACAGGGCCATTTTGATGCTTTTTACAGATAACTGTCCTTTTTCCTATCTCTAAAAGAAAAAAAAAACTATCCTCTTTAAAGTGAGAAATAAGGGCCGGCCCGGTGGCGCAAGCGGTTAAGTGCGCGCGCTCCGCGGCAGCGGCCTGGGGTTCGCCGGTTCAGATCTCAGGCGCGCACCAATGCACCACTTGGCAAGCCATGCTGTGGCGGCATCCCATATAAAGTGGAGGAAGATGGGCACGGATGTTAGCCCAGGGCCAGTCTTCCTCAGGAAAAAGAGGAGGATTGGCAGATGTTAGCTCAGGGCCGATCTTCCTCACCAAAATAAATAAATAAATAAAGTGAGAAATAAAAATTGTTTCTTCAAAAACTCATGGAAAAGTCCAGCTAAAGCTTAGAGTATAAAATCAAAAGTATGCAATATTTTTCAGATCAACTATTAGCACATCCAAAGAAAATTAGCTCGATTAATTACTATACTTGGTAAATGTCAAAAACTGTGAGAAACATATTGTGAATAATAAAACACATTTCAAAAATTAAGGTAGATTTTCAAATTCGGATTTTTAAAATAATCCTCAATGTCAATTTATAGCTGATTTCTGAGTTCTGAGGACTCAGAATGCAAATTCTGCAACCACATGCAAAATTTTAGTTACCTTTCACTTAGGTGCTGAAAACTGCTGCTTTCCTCCTGGTGCTCATCTTCAGAGCTCAAACTGGACCAGCTACCAGTGCTGTCATCACCAATACTGAGATTCATCTGCTGGCTACCAAAAGACTCAGTTGACTGCAAGTCTTCTATTTCTTTTGGACTAAAAAAAAAAAACGGAAAAGAAAAATGATTCAATCCAAAAGTGTTAGATTCTAAATTATAAGATTATCCATTTCAAGATAAAAATGAAAAAAACAGAAAATGATATTCAGAGTCCAGACCAGTGGTCCATCCAACCCTTTGTTTGTGTCTGCTAATAAAGAGACTCTGTAGGACAGCATATTGATTTCAAAGTTAACTGAGGTACCCACCAACATCCCTAACTTACTATGTTAATCTATTATCCCAGTGCATCATTTATCTAAATCCTCTTTAAAGCCGTTCATGTTTGCAACTGGGACCACTATGGAGGAACACAAGTTCCTAAGTTTATCATCTGCTTTGTACGACAGTACTTTTATTTGTACTAAAAAAAATCCTTCTTCTGGCTTTAAGAACAAAAAAAGTAGTCCAAGGAATGATAGTACTGTCAATCAAGCCTACAGTCAAACTAGCCAAATTTCTCCAAGATTTTAAGCATGGATCACAACCTTTCTCATTTCTTTTTCAATGAAGAGACATTTATATTTATATTCCATCTTCACAAGAAAGCCCTTTCGCTGTTGGATTATTGTAATTACCCCCTCTACATTTTATTCTCAACAAAGCAGTTTTAAGCGGCATTTTTAAATAAAAAGAGGGAAAATGTTAGCCTTCTGATCAAAACGTTCTAGTAGCTTCTCACCCATCAGTATAAGAGTCCAAGTCCTTATAATACACTGTTTGGTATGACAACCTCTCACAACCTCCACCTTCTCTTCCTGGCTCCCTCACATGAGCCACGTAAGCCTGTCTGCTGTTTCCCCGAGAGGCACAGTCCCACCCCTTTGCCTGGAACCCTCTTCCCTGATTCCCACGAGACTTGTTCTCTCTTCACCTTTGGCTCTTTGCTCAGATGTTACTTTGTCAGAGTTGCTTCCACTGCTACCTGTCCAAAACTGCAAACCATCCCCCATGCTGCCGCCCACCGCCACCCCCAGCACTAACTCCCTTCCTTTAGTTTTCCTCCAAGGCACTCATCACCCGGGACATACTACCTACTTTACTTGTCTGTCTGTCTTATTCCACTCTTAACCTAAGCTCCAAGAGAACACATATTTTTGCCTGTTTCACTTAAATTCTGTATTCCCAGTGCCTAGAACAGGTCCTGAACTGCCCTGTTCTTTGGGGCTATTCTCATTTTGTATTTAAGATATAGCAACCAGAATTGGGTATTCCAGGGACAGGCACACTATAGTTTTGAACCATAATAGAGCACTACTTTGTTCTTTTTTTTTAAACACTTTTCCTGATATGTGCCACAATATAATGGTTTTTGGCTGAAATGACCCATGAGATGGGGTCCATAGAAGAGTTTTTAATGACTGCTAGGTTATTTTGGCTGAGAAAGTATAGCTAAGAATATAGTTTAGAAGTTTTGCTCTTCCAAAAATGTGCTATCATATAATTCCCCATTTGATACTCACGTGCCACCCCTCTGTACATTACAGCTTTGTGAAATATTTATGGTTATTTTCATGAATCAAAGGGACACTAGTGAAATAAGCCAAATAATACCTTTAAAAATAATATATTTGAATGAATCCCTCTTAAAGTTTGAAAGACAAATCATTTTAACTGTAGCAATAGAAAATAAAAAAACAGTACATTGTACACACTACTCAACTTTTAATCGTCAGCACTTACAGAACCCTAGCACAATTACTAAGAAAAAAAGAGAAAGAGGAAAAGAAATACAAAGAAATATTCTATCAGCCTGGATAAAAGCTGCAATTAAACAGCACTGGCTTGTAGGAAGAACTCCAGGGGCCTCTCTACTGACCCAACTTGAAAAGGAAAAGTGAAAATACTGAGGAATCAACAGAAAGAGGCATTTGCTAGGCCCTAGGAGGGATGTCTTAGAGAGACTCTAATCTAGAGGATTATCTAGAGGCGAGTCTCCTCCCATCAGGCAGGGATTGCGGTTGGTCGAGGGTAGAAGGGGGGGTGGCAGGGAACAAGTAAAATAGCCTGTGGCCACATTTGTTTGAAAAAAGTTGTTTAAACTATAGAAAGGCCTAGCTTACTACCACTTATCTGTTTGTATACTTATTCACCACTTATTATATGTCTATCATCATATTAGGAACTAATATGTAGTTATGAACAAAGAAAATATGGGTCCAGAACAAAAGTTCGCAAATTTTTTCTATACAGGGCCAGATAATAAACACTTAAGGCATTGCCAGCCATAAAGTCTCTGTTGCAACTACTCAACTCTGCCATTAGGGCACAAAACCAGCCACAGACAACACATAACTGAATGAGCATGGCTGTGTTCCAATAAAACTTTATTCATGAACAATGAAATTTGATTTTCATGTCACAAAATAGTATGTATTCTCCTTTTGATTTTTTTTCAACCACTTAAAAAATGTAAAAACCATTCTTAGCTCACAGACCATACAAAAACAAGCAGTGGGCCAGATCTGGCCCATGGGTTGTAGTTTGCCAAACTCTGGTCTAGAAAAAAGGAGGCAGGGCCGGCCCTGTGGCTTAGTGGTTAGGTGCGTGCGCTCTGCTGCTGGCGGCCCGGGTTCGGATCCCGGCTGCGCACCGACGCACCGCTTCTCTGGTCATGCTGGGGCCGCGTCCCACATACAGCAACTAGAAGAATGTGCAGCTATGACATACAACTATCTACTGGGCTTTGGGGGGAAAAAATAAATAAATAAAATCTTTAAAAAAAAAAAGAAAAAAGGAGGCAGACTGATCATAGCAAATACAGACCTCCCCTAAATCACCAGAAACCTACAGCATCTTTCAGCTCAAGAGGATGCTATGGAACAACTGGATTCAAGGATCCTGGCCAAACTGCATCTCCCTTATTTTAAGGCTAAGAAAAGAGGCAGTTCTTGTCATGGCTTTGACAAAAGCTACTAAAAAATCTGGGTATCGTGTGATTCAATTAAATTCCACCTTGACTTGAAGCATTTTCTCTTTCCAGCGGGACTAACAAATAAAATCCTACAAACTAATAACACAAATTGGTCCTGATGTTTTCCCAGGGAGAAAGAAGGTTAAAAGTGAAAATTTTAGGGGCCAGGCTAGTGGCACAAGCGGTTAAGTGCGCATGCTCTGCTGCGGCAGCCCGGGGTTCACAGGTTTGGATCCCAGGCGCGCACCGACACACCGCTTGTCAAGCCATGCTGTGGTGGCGTCCCATATAAAGTGGAGGAAGATGGGCACGGATGTTAGCCCAGGGCCAGTCTTCCTCAGCAAAAAGAGGAGGATTGGCAGATGTTAGCTCAGGGCCGATCTTCCTCACAAAAAAAACAAAAGTGAAAATTTTAACTCAAGTGTTAGAATCACTGAGCACAAGACGTAGCTGCCGAAGAACAGGACACTGTAGGACTATCAGAAAGAACTGTCCCCTTAGATTGTGGGCCTACCAAGACGACTGGTGACAGCGGTGGAAGCATTTGGAGAATTCCTGCTTTCTTCCTCACAGCACTTTGTTTAAATTATGCTCTTTATAAAAAAAACTTACCTTTGTGAACAGAAAAAAGAAAATGCTATATAAAAATTTAATCTGAGTAGTAAATTAACATAATAATAGGCTACATTTGCTGCATAAAATTCTCCAGCTGTTTCTTTGATTCAACTTGACCTACTTCACAGCTTTGTGAACTTGGGCAAGGTGGTCACCCTCTCTATGCTTCATCTTACAGCTCCGTAAATGGTTGATCCCTCCCCTCAAAGAGCTATTGTGGGCTTCTATTAATTCAGGGTTAAAAATAATCCTACCCTTCCGAACAGGACCTAAGACATATATGATTGAGTTTAACTTTTTATTTTATCATAAGATCCACAAGAAATCTGAGACTTACCTGCTAACAACAGGTCCAACATTGGTCGTGACTGAGGTCATTATTTCTGTGGTAAGGCTTTCAGCAAAGCTAATGCCATCTTGTCCAATTCCGCTATCAGCTGCCAAACTGGCATTGCTCAGCTCTCTCTCTGCTTTTTTAATAGCTTCAGTAACTATCTTCTCAGCAAGCACTGTCTTCTTATCAAGATCAACATGAATTTGAGGGACATCAAGATGAAAAATTCTAGATTTCTGATAGATGTTACTCAATTTTGAATTAGAAACTGGCTTACTACTAGCGTGTGAATCCTGTCTGAGAAAGTGTTCAGACGCATTTCCAGTGCAGTTGTGGAGTTCATTACGGTCACAATATCTGCAAGTTTGATTTATAAGAGGTGACAACTTTTCTGCATATGTGATCCTATCTGCTGCTTTTGTGGTCTCAGACATACAGAAAACTGCGGATCCTAAACTTAGCTCTAAAGTGTCATCCACTACTTTTTTAGCATACTGTTCTATAGCTTGAACAACATTCTCTCCGTAACCATACCCATTTACGCTGCCTGTACTGTGGTAAAATCTGTGATTTTGCAAGGAAGGCAGAAGAGACTTAGGAAATTCTGGCTCAATGTAAGACTCGGTATCTTCATCACATTCAGATTTTTCATAAAGGCAAGAATCTGTTAAGGATTTTGGCAAGCCAACTGTAGATGCTGTCAGCTCTTTTTTAACATCTCTTGTTATGCTGTGAGCAAGAGAGGCTGAAAAACTATACAGTTCAGAGCACTCATTTCTATATGTATCTCGTGTCCATTCACAAGTTTGATTTTTACAAAAGTAACCTCCACTTCTTTTACTTGGTCTTTTTTTATCTTCTTGGCGGTGTTCTTTATTCAAGAACATTAACAGTTCACTGTTGGTTTTCACCTGTGAGCTTTGCACGGGAAACGTTTTTGAGTTGCACTTCATTCCGGCTGTCTTAGCTGCTTCTTGTAATCCTGATTTAACAGATCGATAAGCAAGTCTATTGGCATACTGATCCATTATTAACTCACTACTACCACCTTCCTGCTTTAGTATTTGGATGACGTGACCCGCATATTCATCTGTCACACTTTCACAGCTGGGATACTTATATGTCAGACCCGACATACAAGAACTTGGTGGTAATGAAAGAATAAACGGTTCTACTTCTCTTGGGTGTGCTACAGCCTCTGTATCCAACTTCTCTTCTGATCTATAATCTCGGTCACCATCAAGATAACTGTTCTTCTTTTGCCTGAAAAACGTACAACTTCTAACTTTTGCTATCTTCTCAGCTTCTGTCATGACTTCTGCTGCCACATCACCTGCAAAATTACATAATGTTTGTAAATTTTCATCTGAGCAATTGAAAAAAGTAGGTGATACACCTCTTTGGCTTTGCACACTTAAGCAAGGGCTTTTAATCTTGGGTTCTTGAATTATTTTATTATCTAAATGGGAGGCTGCCATTTCAGTTGCAAGAGAAATGATGTGTGTAGCTAATGCTTCTGCGAACTGAACTTTCTTCCCTGAGCGCTCTGGCTTCACATCCACTTCTGGATGCTCTTCACCTTCACTACTTTCAACTTCTTCTGAAAGAGATCGCATGAGTTTCAACATGAACTCTTCTTTTTCTATAGTATTTTGTTCATTTTCAGACAAACTACCAATGGATGAGTTGTGAGGTGTAGAAGGTGGTGTAGCAGGTGCAAATTCCTTTGCTAATTCCCCCTTGAGCTTTTTGGTTAACTTCTTGATATCCCAATTGGAACCAGCCTGGGATGGTACTAGAGGAGTTGATGGAGGAGTATCAGGTATTACATTTCCATCTCGGATTTTCTGTTTATCTTCCACGTGAAAACCATCTACACACGTAAGCGCTGTGGATGAGAAAGTATGTGAATGGGAAAAAGGGTTTTCTTGCCCAAAAGACAAGGGCTCAAGTGCTGTATTATTCAAATTATGCTTTTTCACTGATCTATCCTTAGCAGCTTCCTTCAAATCTGGTTTCTGACCTGCCATAGTTGGACAAGGTGGTAGTGTCTCTAAAGAAAATCCATGAGCTGTAGAACCTCTACATTCTGCAACATAATCCTTTCCAACTGAAAGAGAACCATGAGTTAAGTGATCCTGAGCATCAAGACATCTGGGGAACTTTTCCAGGGTCAACTGTGACTCTTCTCCAGGAACAGGTAAGCCTTCCTTGTGTACCACATTTTTATCTACATTTGGGATCACAGATTTGCTTTTATCTACGGACTGTTTAATAATAGATTTAGATAATCGATCAGCAAACATGTCCTTATTGCTAGCTTCACTCTGTTGCTGTGTTGCTTGATCACAGGGAAAAGGAGGGGTGTTTCCTTTTACTGCTTTAGTTAAATAATCTGTGTGTTCACCTGTTTTTGTAACTTTGAATGACGTCATTGACTCTAAAGTTTCATTTACTATCATATGCACCACTGCTGCAGAAAAATTATTAATCATCACAGGATCACTTGTTAATTTTGAAGAGCTTTGCACTTCAATATCATTATTAGTTGGTTTAAAGTCATTCTGGTTATTGGGATTGTGTTCTGAAGGTAAACAAATATTTCTGAGACAAGCAACTTCCTCTTCTTTGTTTTTTGTGGTAACACGTTCTTGGGTAGAATCACTATCTGAATTACTATTATCAGACGACAGATGAGACTTTGCCTGATAGATATTAGATGAAATATGATATGGGAGAAGGGCACTTCCTGCCAAGGGCACTGGTATAGAAGTAATAATTCCAGAAGTACAAAACAAGGCCTGCTGTACAGTGTACTCCTTTTTATATTCCTGCATTGGTTTTGTCATCATAACTGTTTGATTGTTACAAGGAGGGGAAAATGTGGAGGTCTGTGTTGATGGCACTATATTTTCTGCACTCACACTCTTTACGTTATCTGTGGAAACACTAACTGCTGCCTTTGCTGTGAAGGTGACATCAACTTGTGACAGCTCAATGAAGGCTTCCTGTAGTACAGATTCAGACAAATCTTTTGCATATGACTTCACTACTTTGTCTTCATAGTCAAATGACCAACACTGTGGAGATGCAGGTGTTGGAGGACATGAAAACTGGCATACTTCCATGATGCCCTCAAAAACAAGCTCTTCAGCAAGATCTGCAGCAAACCTAGTGACGGTGTTTGTAAATATCTGCTTCTTTACATACTGTAAATCTCTTAAAGCATTTGATAAAGCTTCACTCACCAAAAAATTAGCCAGACCACTAATGGCATGTTCTTTCAGTGAAAATGCACGCTGCCTTCTCAGTTCATTGAATGCCATCTGAAAAACGGATGATGTTAATTTGACGGCTAAGTGGCACAATGCATTGGTACATGAAGAGACTCCTTTCTGTAAGTCTTTAAATGCGCTGACAAAACTTTTTTCCACAAGATCTGCTGCAAACTTCTGAATGCTATTTTTAATCATTAACGATTTATTTTTAGATTTACTTTTTTGATCAAGGCTTCCATGCTTAAGAGCCACAGTTTTATGTTCTCCCTTTTTAATACTATTACTGTTTGATGTTGCATTAGTATGTCGGGTATGAAGAACCGAGCCCAGTACTTCACATGAAATGCTATCTGCATAATCTTCAAAGGTGTAATAAACAGAACCATGATTTTCATGAATCCTCTCTCCACCAATATCTGTTTGGCAAAAACATTCAGCAGGAGTACAGCCTCCAAGAGGACTAAAAGCAGAGGATCGAATAGGGCTAAACAAGCCACTTTCTTCCCCCGATGCCTTCACTGGGCGAGGAGAATCTGGAGCATCGCACAGGTTACTGTAAGGGGATTCTGGTTTACGAGGAGTCGGCTTCCTAACATTAGCTGGGAGAGCCGGACGATCAAACTTGAATTTTTGAGGATTCATAGTAGTGGTTACAGAACAAGATTTCTCATGTTTGTGCCCTTTCTTTTGCGATGGCTTCCCTATGACAGGATCTTTCAGAAATGGACAAGAAGTCTCTGAAATTTGTTCTAGTTCATCAAACTGATCAAAACTATCAAAAAATTCACTTACTTCTGAGTCTGAATCCTCTATATCATCTTTCATCATAGGAATTTTAGGTAACTCAAGTTTGGCTTTTAAACTTTTTTGATATCCCTCTTCATCCAAGAAAATAACAGGACTTGGACTTGAGCATTCTGATTCAGACGAGTAGGCAGGAGAAGAAGACAAAAACGTTTTCTGTGTATCACTACCTTTGTCTGCAGCATTAGATGACCTATAGAAACTCCTTTGGATCCAAGGCTCAGAAATTGATGTTGTAACTGAAGTTTTCACAGAAGGTAGGTCTTTATGTCCCAGAATATTTATAAAGGAAGTTGAAGGTTTAGCCAATGACTTCTGTGGAGCAGAGCTAACCAGAATCCTTAAATCATGGGTTTCTAAATGGTGACCAGAAATAGTCTGGGACGCTGCATCACACTGGCTCCTTAGCGCAGTAATGTTTATTCCTATAGGAAAAGAATTACATGATCAAATTATTCTTGAACAGAATTTTTAAAAAATTAATTTAAATCAATGGGAGTAAGTAGAGTTTAAGCATGAAATATTTACTTGTAATAGGAGTGTCTTCTAAACTATTTTGTTTAACAGATTCATCCCAAGCCACATTTAAAAGCAAACACACGTTTTACTAAAATAATTACATTTTGCCACATATCTGGGAATACTTGGACTATGGAATGCTTAGCATGCTGTCACATGTGTTAGAAACAATAATATGGTGACTCTGCCAGCTAACTATTCTCAAATTTGAACCTAGGCATATTCCAAACACTTAAGATAAAGAGGTAAACAGCGCTTGAACAGTACTACCTAAATAAGAACAGAAATAGCATAACTAAAAACCAGATAACAATGAACTTAAAAATCACAAGAAAATTAATTTCTCAATCAGAAAAAAAGGTTAAAATGTTTAGTTTGGATCAAATTCCAAAATAAATTTCAATTGAACAAATCTGCCTTAAAGCTTTTAAAACTGAATTTAAAGGGGCCGGCCCCGTGGCTTAGCGGTTAAGTGCGGGCGCTCCACTACTGGTGGCCCGGGTTCGGATCCCAGGCGCGCACCGACACACCGTTTGTCTGGCCATGCTGAGGCGGTGTCCCACATATGGCAACTAGAAGGATGTGCAACTATGACATACAACTATCTACTGAGGCCTTGGGGAGAAAAAGGGAGAAAAAAAAAGGAGGAGGATCGGCAATAGATGTTAGCTCAGGACCGGTCTTCCTCAGCAAAAAAAAAGAGGAGGATTGGCATGGATGTTAGCTCAGGGCTGATCTTCCTCACACACACACACACACACACACACACACAAAAACCTGAATTTAAACTTTAATCCCCTCTTTCAAGAAAAAGTCTAGCAAAGAACAAACCATCATTATATGGCTTTGAAGTCTCTTCTTCGTCTAAGTGCTCAAAAGCAGTGACAAAGTCATCCTCTATGGAAGACACGGACTGGTTAGTATCGTCATCATCTTCATTAGTGGTCTCAAGTTGATGCTTCTGATGCAAGCACGTGTCCAGGGTGTATCTTATACCAGTAGCATATTTACTTAGGAGACTAAAGATAAAATCAATTCTGAGTCTTGGTAATGTAGGTGACACTCTCATGACACAAAGCATTCCAGAATGATGACTCTTGGGAAAGATGATAAAAAATAATTTTAATTTCAAAACATATTATACATACAAAACATATTACTTGAAAGTGAAGCCTAGAAATAACACAATATCAGAAAAAGAAAAAAAAAAAAGAAATGCACGCATCCTGAAAGGCTCCCTGATTTTATAATGTTTAATTATTTTCTTCATTCTTTGTCTACAACATTTCTCACTTCCCAATCTCTTTTTCTCCCATCTTTCTCTTATCCGAGTATTCAAATCCTACGTATTCTATCTCCTTAAAAGTTACAGAACTTACTATCCATTCCTTTGGGAATTTTATTCTCCTGTATTACTGAACAGCTCTGGGGTTTTTCTTATTTAATCAGTCACCTAGCTCACCAATTATAGTGTAAACTGCTTGAGGGCAAGAACCAAGTTCTCTTGTATCTTTACACTCCATTTTCCTGTCTGTAGCTTCAGCATAATATCACCTTCTCTCCTATCATGAAAGACTCATCCTCTCCTTTTACCTACATTTCCCTAGTACAATTTTTTTTTTTTTTTTATTTTTGCCCCAAAGCCCCAGTAGATAGTTGTATGTCATAGTTGCACATCCTTCTAGTTGCTGTATGTGGGACGCGGCCTCAGCACGGCCGGAGAAGCGGTGCATCGGTGCGAGCCTGGGATCCGAACCCAGGCCGCCAGCATCAGAGCGCATGCACTTAACCGCTAAGCCACGGGGCCGGCCCTCCCTAGTACAATTAACAATAATGTTTATAGTTTTGATTAAGAATACAAGTCATCAGATTTTTTCCACACATATTATCTAAAAGATGCAAATATTGACAAATGATTTATTCAAAAAAACTAGAAACCAAATATAATAGCTAATTATCTCTTGTATCCTAGCCAATAAAACAAAGTAAATACAAATGAAGAATATAATTAAGGAAATGAGGCAAGCAGTTCTATTTTTATCTGCAGACCTCATAATGAACTCAGTAGTCTTTTATACTTGGAATAAGTAATCCAAATTTTCAACCTACTAATTTAATTTTTAGGAGGTAAAACAGCAAAGCATTGTTCTTTGATGCATTATCAATGAAATAATATTTAATAAAGAATTAAAAGCTGAAGATTATAAAACTAACCATCTGTCTGAAATGGTAACATTTTGTTTATAAAGAACAAAACTTTACATATCCACTTTACAATGAATTTTTTACACCAGAAAATGAGTTAAAGTATGTTCTCCAAAACATATACACAATATTTACATAAATTTAAAATTGGTCATAAAGGGGCAAAAAATTCCCACAGCTTATACGAAGGTAGAAGATGTTCAAGAAATTCAGAAACAATGAAGTTTCAGAAAAAAATTAATATGTACCCACATTCCATTTATGGAACTTCACACATGAAAAATCTAATTTAAAGCTATGACCAAAATTATTTTATCCTCCAGTAATTTCAAATCTTTGTGAGTTAGGTTTGTCATGAATCATATTTCCCAGAGATAGCATTAAAAAAAAAGAAACTTCATCCAAGCACTTAAAAGTTTAATACTCTCAATCCAATGTCATTGTAAAATTTGCCCTGAAAAACTCATTAGAAATGATACATAAAAGTTACCTGATTTAGAGGACCATTGTTTATATCTGTTGATTTATTTATATCCTTCATACAAATAATTTCATTTTCATTTAGACTACAGAAGTGCAGTGAATTCAGAAGATCTGGAAGTTCCAAAGAAATTGCAGCTAAATCCTAATTTAAAACAATAATACAATAAATAACACTGTGGATTAACATTTTGTTAAGGTTTCTATAATGTGGGCCCTATCCCAAAATCATAAGGTTAATAAATTTTCCGGTTCATAATAGTTAACATATGTAGTTAACTTATATATTATGCAGTTAAAATATGTTAACATAACAGTTTATCAACCACAATTTTTTAAAAACTCAAAAGTAAAATGTACTAAAATATTTTAATACCTGCTATTTCTGTAGCCTTTTAACGTATTGATATCAAGCTACAAAAAATGTTCATGGCATCTCATACACCCACGCCAATTATGCATTTAATAGTTTTTAGCTGCAAATATCAACTGGCAGTCCTTAGGTTTAACTACGGAATTTTTCATACAGGATTTTTGCCCAGAGAATGTACTTCTTTGGAGCTTAAGTTGTATATTTATAAAATACAAGCCTATTTTCTGCCTTTCTTCTCCAAGGTATTGTATTAGACTTTAAAAATTTTATGAAGATGTAAAGGAAAAGAAAATAGCTTCATTTGCCCTTTTTACATAAATATTTTACCCAGTTAAAGAATTATTAACATCTATGACCACTTATAGAGTACTTTCCTTTATAAAGATGGTTTTACTAGTAACTCTTAAAAAGGAAGCAGAGTAAGAGAGAAATACTTTGGAACACTTCTCTTTTCAGCCTTATGGTCTCAGGAGCATGTCCTCTCTGTGCCTTCTGTCTACACTATTTCCTTCAGGCAAGGGTACAATCAAGACACACAGCAGAGTTTTCATTCAATATCACCCGATATGCATTATTCATAAAGAACTGAACAGTGTTATTTCCTCTTCTAATAGGGGACACTTTACTGCCACAAAAGGAAACACGCAATCACAAATTTTCAAGCAGCAGCACAGGGTTAAAAAAAAAAAAGTACACCTACCACATCTGCACAGGCTTCAACCACTGTGTAACTCTGAAGCTTGCATTTGCCAATCCTAATCTCAAATATCAGTCCCTCTGTAAATCCCTGCCTAAATCAACAGGCTAAAATTTTTGCCTTGGTTAATCATTACTTTTTACAATTTTTACCTTTTAAATTTCAATCTCAATTAAAAAGATAAGAATCTGACTGTTAAAGTCAGATTACAAAAACCATCAAAATAAAAAAACAAATCTTTCATTCTACATTATGCAGAGAATGGGAATAAGTTAGCCTGTGGTTTGCACCCTTCTCAGATAAATGACTTTGGTGGCCTTCTAACCTAAAACTGCTTCCCGTAATAAGAATAGTCAGTGAAAATGTCCAAAGCACACTCAAACGTTGATCTCAAAATGTCATCTTTTAACTTGAAACAGGAATGATACCAGAAGAGTTTTGGTGCAAATTTTGGGTTAATAAGGCAAATGATCTCAAAATTTGTTCCACATAATCTTTCACTGTCCTTTCTAGTTCAATAAATCAACCATACCTGTATACGAGCAGCATCTGTTTCTTCATTAAAACCTAGAAATGTGACCTGAATAAAAAAGAAATACAGCTTCATTAATTTGAGGGGGTTTTTTTGTGTGTGTGTGAGGAAGATCAGCCCTGAGCTAACATCCAATGCCAATCCTCCTCTTTTTGCTGAGGAAGATTGGCCCTGGGCTAACATCCATGCCCATCTTCCTCTACTTTATATGAGACGCCACCACAGCATAGCTTGAAAAGCAGTGCATCGGTGCAGACCCGGGATCTGAACCCGCGAACCCCGGGCCGGCAAAGCGGAGTGAGAGCACTTAACCACTGCGGCACCAGGCCGGCCTCTAATTTGAGTTTTTAAGTCTTGTTTCAGTTAGATTGTTGACAGAGCTGAGAAACAGGAAAAAGCACATAAAACATTAAAACGCTGACTGTCTTGGATAGGATGCTTAATTTTTTCAAAGATAATCACAAATGTTTTTCACCAAAGATTTGGCTCCATAATGCAGTTCTTAAACTTCCCCCACATCCACTTCATGAGCAAGTTCAATCAATTCTACTCCCAAAACACATCTCACACACATTCACTCCCCTCCATTCCCCCTGCCACCACTTCTCACCTGCGCTGCTACAATCCTCTCCCACCTGGTCCCAGTAATTATCATATCACTTCCTGTCAAAACCTTCCCACGCTTCCTAGTGCAAAGTCCTAACTGAGGCCCTAAGGAATGGGTTAGCTGGTGCCTTCAACTTTCCCTCACTTTCATTCATACAGATGGGCCCCCTTTCTGGGTCTAGAACATGCCTGGTATGTTCTAGCCTAAGGGCTTCACAGTAGTATCCCCTCAACCTGGATCTCAATTTCTTGGATGTTTAGAAGCCTAGCTTCTCATTCTTCAAGTTCCAACTTAAATGTCACCTCCTCAGAGAGGCTTTCCCTGGATAGACCCCCAAGACTAACTCCTCACTGACTTTCTGTGATACTATCATTTATTTCCTTCAATGCTCTTATACAGAGATTACTCTGCAGAAGTTTATATAAATTAAATTTCTAAATAATATCTAATGGCACAAGAAATGTTACACTATTAAGTAAAAAGGACAAGTTACAGAAAAATGATATAGAGTATGCACACAATTTCAACCTTATTTTTAAAAACATATGCATGGAAAATAATACTGGAAGGCAATATACCAAACTATAAGCAGTGATTAACTCTAGCTGATGGAATTATAGGTGATCTTATTCTTTTCTACTTTTGTCCCCTGTGGGTTTTTTTTCCCTAATTCATAGGATTAATGAGTGTCATTTTCTTTTTTTATGCTCTTAGTATTTCTCATTTTTCTACATGGAATATGTACTACTTTTATAATCTGAAAAAAGTATTATTTTTAAAATTTTTATTCCCTTTATGTCTTTGACATCATAGGAATAAATTTTTTCCATTTGTAGATAGAATAGTAAACTGTCTACTAAGCGAGTACTGTGACTAAAAATACGAAATATTTAAATGATATCATATAGAAAATCAATTCTCAAGAATTAAGGGAAAACAGTATAGTTAAAATATAAAGCAACACTCAATATACTTTTGATCTCTTTCTGCTGATTCAGAAGCAAGCGAGACTCTTAAATTACCTGAGGATCTTTATTCTAATTAATTACGGTTATCGCTTCACAAAAGTGTTACAGTTAACTTCCAAGTGTGCAGGTAAGTTATGAACCTCTGGGAGCCTGTCTCTTCATTTAAAAGACTTAAGGCAACACAACTCCTCTTCCACAGTTTGAGGGTTAATCAGATAACCAGATAACATGGAGGAAAGTGCCTAGCACATCACAGGCCCTCAATAACAAAGAGACACTCAAACAACAGATTTCCTTCCTTTCTTCGAAAAGATACTTTGAGATACGCACACCCTCAAGTGAGAGAAATCCTTCTATTCTTTCAAGTTTCCTTTTATTGAATACAAAAGAGAAAATAAGCTGACATGGGGTTCCAAAGATGCCAGCAGAGTTTTATATTTCCCACTGATCAAGGAAGGCCTCACCAAGGAACGCGGGCTCAGAAAAGCACCACGTAAGCAGCTGGAGAGATACGGGCTGGAAACTGTTTGAGGGCAGAAGGACACAGGAGACTTGTCACACTTGGCCACAACTGAGGAGATTAAGGGTGGCTCAGCTTTATTAAAATCAAGCACAAAGGGATAACAAAGAAGATAATAGTCAAGAGCCACAGAAATTGAGCTGACACATGAGAGGCTCGAGAACACTCCAGGCCTAAAAGGCGTGCTCATCATCATATGGACCTACTTCAAATATAGTTTCTCAAGAAATATGAAAGAAAATCATTCCCAAAAATAAGAATAAGATTTTTTTATTATAACCTTCATTCAAAAAAAAATTTTTAATTAACATATTTCTCAGTTTTGAGCTCCAACAACCTAATACCCTATCTCTCTCATCTGGTAACATAAATGTGTTGAAGGACTATGGTTATATTGCAAAGAAAATTTACTCTTTTTTACAGTAAAAAATTCAAACAAAAACTGGAAACACTAATGTAGCAGAGAAATAGGTGAGCAAGTAGTACATCTTATCCTCAAGTAGTAAGTACCTTAATTTCAAAATAAATATATCACTGCTTTTTCATTTTGAATCAAAGCACTGAATTAAACAATCAAGAAAACTAACCACCCAAAAAATGAATACAAAAAATAAGCACATATTTACTGTTTCAGAGTAAAAAATTTTTTTATTGAAATATCAATTACTGAATATAGTAGGAATCATCTAATACAGTGCTATATGTCTGATGAGTGGTCAATAATGCCTATTAACTGAAGTAAATGTGCTCATTATAACACATTAAGACAATTATGTTAGCTGATATTTAAAAGATACTTCTCAAACATGTATTAATATATAGAGATTTCAGCCATTTTAAAAATAGATCATGCAGTTCTACAAAAATGGGTGAAAACACATTGTGCTTTATTAGAAAAGGGTATAGAAAGTAATATGTCAAACCTCAGTCAAATTGGCATGTTCATCCTGCTTTAAGCAGTCCTCTGCTGATATACTGCATAGTTCCTTCTCACTCTGTAATAAAGACTTTACAGACTCGAACACGTCTTCACTGAAGCTCTGAAAATAAAAGACATTCTTAATTTATTCAATTCTAAGACAAAGTAAAAGATCCCAGAGATATTCTAGTTTTAAATGGATTTGAGTCATTAACTCTCCCCAATTAATATTCATTTGGCACCTTTTGATATACACAGAAGTCAATTTAGCTGAAAGGAAGAAAGAACAAAGGCTTAAGTAGAGTCCCACATGCTCAGAACACACACCACAGCCTAGGTACTCAACCTACTGGAAGACCACCAGGTCCTCACGCCAGGTTTTCTTACTCTTACCTTACACTGAAACCTTAGCAGACTACATACCTGATTTCCAAGTCATTGGCAGAACAGAAGCAACACTTTAGATAAGGAGTGAGATCATGTGGACGCTGTAGTAACGCATGCTGACAACACTGATTACTCCCATAACAAAGTTGGAGATGGAAAAAAAGAGAGATAATAACCCAAAATAAGGCTTTTCAGGGTCTTAAGGCAGCTGTATGATGAAAATGAGGGAAGGCATTCCAGATTTGGCAGGGTGGAATGTCATGAGTGCAAAGGAACCGAGGGAGGAAAAAGTTACATAAAGAAAATAATGAGTATTATAGATCGTTAATCGCCTTCTGCCTTCCTCCCCTCCACTGATTCACTGATCTGCGCTTCTAACAGAAATGCCCTTACTCCCCAGTCTTCCCCTGCAGAAATCCTACTCATCCCAAGACCTGTGACTATTTTCCCATCCCTTAGTCATAATAAATCTCTCTCAAAGTTCCTACTGTATTGCTTGTACATTAAGATCATTTAATCTATATCACAACATATTACCATTATTGTATTCATATATATATTTATCTTTCCTACCCATTAAACCAACTTATTGAGGTCAGAGACTGTATTTTACTCCATTTGTTTCCCCAGATTTCAGTACCTCACATACTATATGAACTCGATACGTTTGTTAATTTTAATAAATTAAAAATTAGTGGAAATCTTTGGGCTAAGAGAAGAGATATGAACATGAAATCAAAGTAGTTAAGGAAAAAAATGTAATGTTAAATTTGAACTTGAACTATCAATATGAACTCATGATTCTCTAAATATATGTGCTACATTTTTCTATTGAAAGAAAGGTCATAGAAGCAATGACCCTCAGTAGGAATGAGCATACCCAGCACCCAGATTTTGGTTTCTAAATACCGTTCACCAATAAAAAGAACTAGAGCTCCTTGGGAAAATGGCTGGTTCCAGGTCTGAGGCAGAGAAAGTATGAAGTACAACAGGAATATCCTATTGTGACAGAATGCAACCAAGTGCTCAGAGACTAACTAGGTCATTTCAAAAGAACACAGAAGCCAACTTGAATGTCCACTGGCCAAATCTGGGACAATTTGGGCATCAAAGAATAAAAATAGTAATGGATTCTAACAACTGAATTTTTAAAAAAATCTATAAGTCCATTAAAAAAGATAGATAAAGGGTGGGACTGGGAGGAGAACACTTCTTTAAATAGGAATGCTGGCTGACAAATATGGATAGAATGACAAAACCAGAAAATCCCATTTGTGACTCCCAATATAACTACTGATTTAGGAAAGGATTATCAAGATATCCTAATCCACTGGGTTAAAAGCTATTGGGGAACAGGATACTCATGCTGTCTTGCAGCATCATCCTACAGATTACTTATCAATTGCATTAATTATAAAGGGACTATGTGCCTTTATATTGGAAATATCTATTGGTTACTACCTTAACCACCTGGTCAAGTCTGGCATTAACAATATGTACCTTCTGATATGATAGAGTGGAATGAACATAACATCACCTTTGGGGTATTCCTGCTGAACTTAATTACAGGGAAAAACAGATGAACTCAGAATAGGGGGATATTCTACAAGACAACTGGTCCTGACTCTTTCAAAGATTTGCTGTCATGAGAAAAGAATATAGACCACTGAAATGGAGTAGACTGGGAGAGATCAAAGAGACACAACCCCCAAATGTAGAGTGTGAACCTTGACTGAATTCCAGATGAGGGGCAAGGGGAAAGTAACAAGGATATTTGAGACAATTAGGGAAATTTGTATATGGATTGCATGTTAGAAGATGTTACTAAATTAATGATTTTCTTAGGGGTGGTAATGATGCTGACATTCTTAAGAGATGCATGCTGACATATTCAGAAGAGAAGTAAAATAATGTCTGCAGCCTACTTTCATACGGTTTCAAAAGAGAAGAGTGTGCGTGCGTTTACGTGTATACACATACAGAGATAGAATGAGTATGGCAAAATGTTAACAGAGGAGGGTGAATCTAAGCGTAGTGTTCATTGCACTAGGTTTTTTTGCAACTTTTCTGTGGGCTTGAAAATATTCAAAATTTTAAAAGATTATTTTCATTAATGAGTGGAGGTTTTCAGGCTAAGATACAAATGTGAACTCAAAAAAAGGAAAAAATATGAAATATGAAATCTGAAGTTGAACCATCAATATAAACTCATGACTCTGAAGGAGCAATGGGCACTCCTAGTACCCAGACCTTAGTTTCTAAATACGACTCAGGGTTCTTTGGAGAAATAGCCAATTCCAGGTCTGGGGAAGGGAAAAGAGAAGGTGAAACTGGGTTAATCTGTTGTACTAGGAAGTAAGAAGCAATCAAAGAATTATGAGCCTGAGACAGAAGGAGACAGGCGTCAGCTTAGAGAGGTTACCAGGGACCAAGTTTGGGACAATTTGAGCAACTTAAATAAATAAATGAATGAATGAATGAATGAGGGGAAATAAACTCACTAGCCACCACTGGAAGTGACTATTCCACAAAATTATTAATCTGAAAATTGGTAAGTAAAGGGCATTTACTCTGCCTTTATAGGAGATTTGTAGTTCATCTAAGGTTGATAAGGGAAAGTTCTTCTTTAAGAAGAATGCCAACCAATAAATGCAAAAGGAATGATAAAATTAGGAAAACCACCATTGCAACTTCCAGGAAATAACAGATTTAGGAAAGGGTCATCAAGGGATGCCAAAACTATTACATGAAAGGATGTTGGAGAAAACAAGATATCTGCACACAGCCAAGTATCATCCCACAGATTATTTGCTAATTAAAATACAGAAAATATATTTTTAAAATGGACAGCTCTGGGAGACTTACTACCTTAATCAATTGATCAATTTTTGCATCACTGATCACAGGAAAACCCGAAATTCTGTCCTCACATCACCCTATAAAGTGTTCTTGCCAAAAATATTTAACCTGAATCCACGCATTTACACCTAACTTCTAGTTTATATGAAATATAGAAAAGAAAGGAATAAGTTAAACAGCACGGCGAGAAAACAACCAAATCCAGAATGAGGAACATTGTACAAGAAACTGGCCTCGGCTGTTTAAGAAGTCAGTCTTGAAGTTTTTTTTTTAAAAAAAGAAAAAGGAGGAACTCTTTCAGACCAAAATAAATGTAAACAAGTCATAACCATCAAATGCAACTTACAGCCTCAGAGCCTAGACTGACTCCAAAATGGGGGTGAGGCGGAGACTATAAAAGACATTCTAGGGGTAATAAAGGAAATCTGAGTGTCTCTGGGTATTAGATATAAGGGAATTATATTTAATTTTCTCGAATGTGATAATGGCATTATTGTTATGTGGGAGGATGTTTTTATTCCTGGTAGAAGCATGTGCAAATGTTCAGCAGTGAAGAGACATTAAGACCAAAACTTTCAAATAGTTCTGCCAAAAAGTAAATACACACAGCAAATAAGACAAAATACTAATAACTGTTGAATAGGGATGGTCGGTGTGCAGGTTTATGTACGGGTGTACTATGCTTTTTACTTTTCTATATGTTTGAAATTTTTCATAATGAAACGTTAGGAAAATTAAATAGGGTAGAAAGCATAGCTTTCTGCTTTTCACAATATTTGATTCCCAATAAATATTCAGTGCATCTCTACTGTTAACGCAAAGTGAAGTGAAATCTAGAGAATTCAAGTACACCTTTCAATTTCCACATAGGCCAACAGGCAAGTTTTTGTCATTCACCTATACAAAGCAAAGGCATCAAAAGTGGTGTAAGTGTGTGCATAATACATACATGTAAACAATATACAATATTTAGAGTCACATACTTTTATCCAAGGGTTTCCAAGCGTTCAAGTGAACTCACATCAAATCTTTATTGCATGCCTAATAAGGATAATGTGCTGAATAACAAAAGACATTAAAATGATTCTAGTATGAAATTTCAGATGCAGCCTAATTCCACAATTTCAGGCATATATTGGTAAATTCAAGTCAAACAGGTATGTAGCATTATTCCTAAAGAACATGGTCACTAGCTCACTATTAATATTTTGTATATATATTACCTAGTTATAATTATTAATTTAAAGCAAGCACTACAATTTAATTATTAATTTAAAGCTATGGGTCTAATTGCTAATCTGAAAAAAGTATAGTACACTACAGTTCACAAAAAGTAGAAACAGAGAAAATAGCTTTTATTGTACTTTTTTCAAATTAAAAAGTGGACTGATTAAGTTCAAAGGTAATTTACCTGAAAACATATGGAGCATATTACTTAAAAATCTAATTACCATACCGTTTAAAAATAAGTTTACTTTCTGTTTTCCCACTTTGCAGGCAACCTGTAGATTTGAGAAACATTCCCTTACAGTTAACAGTCAAACCCAAACATTTCTTAGCTCTCTGAAGGAAGGAGTGACTAGATGAAAAACCAGGCCTGGAAGCTTATGAGAACACCAACAATTAGTAGTTGGAAAGAAGATCAGCAAAGGAGACAAGAGTTACCATAAGAGAGAAGGAAAGCAAGAAAAACGCTGTAACGAAAGAAGTCAAAGCCCTTCTTAACCTGTGACGACTGCTCAACAGTGTCATATAATACACAAGATGAAGCCTAGGAAAAGGGTTAACAAAGACTGCTAATGATCCTCCAGCATCCGTTCTCTCCTTCTTCCTTTAAGTAACACCACCAAAGTTTTAGCAAAGACAAAAAATTTCAAGAAACAGAAGGGTAACCAAATTGTCTTAAGGGAGGAAGAGAAGGGCTTCTTCCTCAGATTAGAAAGAAGAAAGGATCAAGACTCATATTTCATTTGCTCCCTACTGATAATCCAACACCTAACATAAGACCTGGCATATAATAAGCACTTAAAATTATATTTGCTGAATGAATGAATGAATGGTAATGTTTTGGAGTAAAGCTACAGGTATATAAAAAATTTTATACCTGATGCTTATATTGCTAAAAAGAAGATGGAAAACTATCTGCTGAGAAGCAACTGGGGAGGCAATTGTATTCTTTGGGAAATAAGGTTCATTGTCTTCATGATTTCATATCACTATTTTCATACACGCCAATCTTTGCAGTATATTTTAATGTTACTAACTTCAATAATGAGATTCACTTAAAAACAACATCATAGCTGCTTACCAAAAAAAAGATCAATATTTTTATTAAAACTATGACTAAAAGGAACCTAATATAGTGAACTTACTTTTCTGACAGATGCTCTAGTCTTCACGTGACTGTTTCTGAAAGTCTGGAAAGTCGCCATAACTATATTGCTGTTGTATATAATCAATGAAGAGTTAATCCATAGAACACCTAAAGAAAACACATGAGAAGAAAACAACTAATTTACTGATCTTAGTGATTCAGGCAAGCATTTTGTCCTAAAATATTTTGTTTAAATTCAATCATTTGAAAAAAAAGAAAACATAAACAAAAATTCTGAGCCATAAAAATTTACTTAGCAATCCAACATGAATATTTGAAAAATATATGAATATTGGTACCTTAATGAGATACCAAATTATTACAAAAATCTTATTTTCAGGTTCAAAATTATAGTTTATCTATTCATCTCACCACCCTTTTTTATTACAAATAAGAAAATATCTGAAAGCTTCAACAAGAAATATTTGGAAAACATTTTAAAATCTAAAATAGAGAATATCACAAAAAGAATCCCAGCCTTCTTGCCTCCCAAAAGTCACTCTATCCCTATAGCAACAACAAATACTCTAGACATTCTTATTTCTTGGGCAGAAAGGTTTGATAATATATGAATGAGAATATGAAATCTGTACATATCAAATTAGATCAGATAAACAAAATCAAATTCCTTACACAGGAATCTTAACAGAATACCAATGACTAGAGTCCAAAAAACATCCAAGTTAAATGATTAATAGTACTTAAAACACATGTACACAAATGTGTACACATGCACACACACACATTATCTTAGGAGAAACTCTAAAACTAAGTCTTAACTTTTTAATGACCCTTTAATAAAATACCTTTGAGGGAACTCTCACACACTGCTGGTAGGAGTGCAAACTGGTGCAGCCACTATGGAAAACAGTATGGAGATTCCTCAAAAAATTAAGAATAGAACTACCACATGATCGAGCTATTCCACTGCTGGGTATTTATCCAAAGAACATGAAAACACAAATATGTAAAGATATATGCACCCCTATGTTCACTGCAGCATCATTCACAATAGCCAAGGCTAGGAAGCAAACTAGGTGCCCATCAGGGGACAAATGGATAAAGTAGATGTGGTATATATACATAATGGAATACTACTCAGCCATAAAAAAGGATGCAATCTGACCATTTGTGACAACATGGATACACCTTGATGGTATTACACTAAATGAAATAAGTCAGAGGGAGAAAGTCAAATACCATATGATCTCATTCATAAACAGAAGATAAAAACAATAAATAAACACATAGAGACAGAGATTGGATTGGTGGTTACCAGTGGGGAAGGGGGGTGGGAGGAAGGCAAAAGGGGTGATTAGGCACATGTGTATGGTGATGGATTCTAATTAGTCTTTCAGTGGTGCACATGATGTAATCTACACAGAAATCAAAATATAATGATGTACACCCAAAATTTATATAATGTTATAAACCAATGTTACTGCAATAAAAAAAATAAGAATAAAAAATTAATAAAATACTTTTAAGAGCTTAAATCAACTTGGGCATTAACCATTCAGTATCCACATTTGACCACAGTAACTCATCCACTCATTCAAAATCTATGTGCACTAGATGCTACGAATAGAGGGGAGAATAAGGTAGATATCACCCTCTTGGGTACAGAGCCTTGCAGGGAAAACGTTTTATTATAATGAAGGGTGAGGGTGGGAAGTGAATTCTAATATATAACTAAACAATTTGAATCAATAAAGATGTAAGAAATGGTTAGTTAGTTTCAGTCAAACTGGCCTTGTCACGAATTATTTAGTAGAGGTTTTCAAGACATTTGGTTAATATAAATTTATACTACAAAGGGGTTTACATGCAAAACCAAACTTCAACCTAGTCCCCATCAGAACTGCAAAAAAAACCTTTAATTTTATTGGGGTTCTAATTTTATATTCTTTCACTATAGAGATACAACTGAAGTGTGTGTGCATGTATACACACACCTCCCTTTAGAGATTTCTGGAATGTAATTTTTAGACAAATAATTATGATGGATTTCTATTCTGAACTAAGATAAATCCTAGCGATCTCTTTAACAAGAAAATTTGATTCATGACTGGAATTGAAGCAGGATTGTGAGCAAGGCAAGGGAGGCCCAACAGCACAAGACAAAGAGCGATACACCAAGATTGAGAAGAGTACCATTTGTGGCCCTGCTTTCTCTCTCATTAGCTTTGCCTCCTCTAGGTAAATTGCAATATCTCTGGATCTGTTTCCTCGATTACCCTACTTACCAGACAAGTTTATTGTAAGAACCAAAGGGAAAATAATTTATAGGAAGCACCTTGGAAACTATAAAACACAGGTAAAAGAAAAATTATTTACTTACAAACCAAAATTCTCAAAACAAGGTGTAAATATAAAGGTAAATATAAATATGTGGCCAAAGCAAGAAAACAATCGTTTTATTTGTCCCAGGCCAACTCACTCTCCTTTTTCCCAAAGTTCTCTTCAACTGCCAGAAACCCTCAGAGGCAAATGGACTTGCCTCAAACTTCACATAAAACACACAAAATATAGAGCTGAACACAAGAGCTCCAGAAAAGTGAACTCTCAAACTCGGCTCCTAAGTAAACTGGCACTGCCTTTCTCGAGGGCAATTTTGTGATGCATGTCTAAACCCCTAAAATATTCCTACTCTATGACACAATTCTACTTCCAGGAATTCATCAAAGGAAACAATGATCCTGGAGCATCCAGGGTTCTAATGAGAGCTTATAGAGCACCGAGCACTTTGCTAAGAGATTTTATGTTAACATCTCACTTAATCCTTAGTACTGGCATAGTAGTACTCCACTTTTACAATGAGAAAAACTGAGGCAAGGGGAAGTGAAGCAATTCGCCCAGGCCCACACAGTAAGCAGTAGAGCTGAGATTGAAATCCCAATCTTCAAACTCTAGCACCCAAGCTCTTAACCCCTCCTCTGTAGCATACAAAGGATTGAAAAGCTGTTCATCACACTTTATGACAGAGAGAAATAAGAAGCACTCTAGACGCCAGAAACAGGAGAGTGACTGAATCACCCAAAGTGCATTCCCACAATGACATGATGGCAGCCATTAAAAACAACGACAAAGGCCAGAGGAAAGATACACAAAGTATCTTTACTTTCTCTGACTCCTGAAAGAGTGGAGTTGGGAAAAGAGATGGGAAACAGCAATTATCTTTGCAGCTGTTGACTAAAGTCAATATGAGCAAAGATTAAACACTAACTCATTGACGGCTTCACCAGGAGAGAAACTGACCAATTACCTAGATGAGCTGCTCACGGGAAGGTGCGACATGGCATGCCCCTGAGGCAGAAGAAACAGTTACAGGAGGTTGAGGGGAGGCCAGGGTGCTCTAAGACATCCAGATTTGACACCTCTTGCTACCCCAGTTCTCTTTACCTACAATATTCCTGAATAGCAGACCGAGGTAGAACACTCTTTTCAAAGTTGAGTACCAAAGCAAATGGAATCCAATATGGACCTATGAAGGAACATTAAAAACACAGACACACATAGGAAGAAATACACTAAAGAAAGATAAAACAATCCAGGCAAACATAATCATGCCACCCAAAATTCACATTATCTATTTTCAGAGTAGTGCCTCAGAATTAGTATTAATAAAAAAGAAACTAAATTTAATCCCGTATTTACACTCCGCTTCATTCATTGAAGAACACATATTTACTCTATTCTAGTCCATCATTTTGTGTTTAACTTAAAACATAAGTAAATACTATCTGTAAGAGATATCTGTGCAGTGGTCCATAAAAGCGAATCCAACATGAGATGACGTGACTCGTACTTCTGGTAAAGCAAAGAAAAAAACTCATCTTTGGAAATGATGCAAAGACAGACGGGGGGAGAAAGGTAACAGAGACGGTTTCTTCACCATCCCATGTAATTAGAGAGAACGTAGTTTTAGACAGATTTCAGCAGAGGAGCAAAAATACAGTATTTTCCCCTAGGACATCTTTGTGTTACAAATAATAAACTTTTCACTTAATGCTTTTTTGCTTTGTGCCCTATTCTGGGAGAATAAACAAGAGTCCTAAGCAGGGAATAACTGTGTTTCTCTATAGTCAAAGAAATTATGTGAACCTAGATCATTTTTTAAAAAGCAGATCAGAGACAAGAAAGTACAGGTGGACAAGGCAAACAACTGAACAATAAGCTGCTAGAACTCAGGAAAGACACAGAAAATACAAACAATACCATGAAATAAATGAAATCCCAACAGAAGCAGCAAAAAAGCAGAATAGATGCAGCTAAAAACACTGGAACACCAAGGAAGTTTTAAGAAATATCACAGAATTCAAAAGAAAACAAATGAAAGCAATTACAGGAACAATTAAAAAAGAGTACAGACAACAGAGATATGGGACACTTTGAATAAATCACACCTATCCTTTGATCCTGCGATTTCACTTCTTAAAATTTATCCTACATATATACTTGCACGAAATTCACGAAGATGTATGTGAAAGAATACTCACTGAAATAAAATAAAATTAAACTAAAAATAATCTAGAAGCCCATGAATTCAAACAAATTATAATACCTTCATATGACTGATTATTACCCAAGTGATGGAAAGAGCTGATCAATACATACTGACATGACAGCATGTCCACAAAATATTAAGGGGAAAAGCAAGTTACAGAAGAGTGATTTAAAAAAACATTATGTACACACACAACTCTGACACATGTATGCTTGTGTTTGTACATGACTAGGAAATATTATGATGGATACAGACTAAACTCATGACAACTGGGATTTTTTTAATGCTATAAAATGTCATATACCTATAATATGGGAAGATGATAGATTATTAAGTAAAATAAGGCAGGTTTCAGCATGTTCACATTATACCATTTTACGTAAAATCTATATTATTACAAGTATGTATTTATATATGCGATACAAAAGATGGGTATAAATATTGGTTTTATCTGGGTAGATGCAATTAACATGTGTTTATTTTCCTGGATGTGCATAAATTCTTTTATGATAAGAAAAAAAATATTTCCCAAGTCTTTGCTCCTCTCCTCTGGCCTAAGAAATGTTCCAATCAGCACCATCTATTTCTCGACCTTTTTATA